AACTTTTAGCGATTTTGCCAACTTTGCGTGCGAGTAGCTCGGATTTTCGCGATGCGCGAGCAAAATTTTGATACGCTGCTCTTCTTGCTTGGACGGCATTTTGACAACTGAAGAGTGAATTCCAAAATCAAAATAGGAGCAACATTCTACACACACACACCTTCAAAATGAGGGGTGTTCAGGTTTTTTAAATACAAAATTGAAAGAAATACGTCAAGTTGATATTGACCAAATGTTGACCGTATCACCCTTTAGAGAAAAATATGCGTGGAAGCATCGGGAATGCGCTCCTGGGTGAAGTGATTTGGTGAGTGCGTTCCAGTTGAAGATTGTTGACAAGTGTATTTGTGGTGATGCAAATTATGGTTTAGATGACGCATGGCTTCAAACATTTTGTGTATCCAAATAAAACATATTACATACTAAATACGCACAGGGCATCGTCTGCTGATATCTCTAAAATAAAGACAAAAAAAAAAAAAAAAATCGTCTGCTGACCATTGCCGCGGGTATATCGTGGGAGTCCCAGGTACCCGGTTCAAGCTTTAGATGGCGGCGGTGGCTCTTCTTGACCTTCTACCCCCTGAGTAGTTAGTGTGAATAAGGGCGTCTACGTGATGTTTTGCTGTACCTGTTGTGTACATCTAGTGCATCCTGTTCCCTTAACTTGTTGAGGACACCCTGTCTTGCCTCAAAAGTTACCTTTTTTGAAGTACTAGTTTTCACAGTTACCTCCAAAATCCATCAGCGTCAACTCGAGAGCTGGCAAAACTGCTGGATTATCCTAAAAGTACTGTGGTGCGAGTGATTAAAAAGCACAAGGAAACTCTCACAACTGCCCGCAAAGTGCAAACCAAGCGCCGGAGTGGAACCGTTTATCGTCAGCTGCAATTGAAGGTCATTCGGAAAATCAAGGCTCGGATTATGATTAGGCGAAAAAACTGAATACTCCAACAACAAACAGTGACCAGAACCCGGGCCCGTAAGCTGTACGACCAGGTTCTGACGAAACTCGATGGATGATGTGTCTCGATCGATGATGAAACGACAATTTCAAACAAATACCGGGGCTCAAATTTTACAAGGCTCCTGCTCGCGGCAAGGTTCCTGGTAGATTCAAGCTTATTGTCGCTCGAAAGTATACAAAAGGGAGTGCCTCAACAAACGGATTTTACACTTTATTACAGTTACGTTTTGACCAGATCTAACCAGCTGCCATTACACCAAGGACGTGCTACAATACAATGGACGACAATGGAGTTCAATTCATCCCAAAAGGGCTGAATTCACAAAATTGTCCCTGGTTCCGTCCAATAGAGAAGTATTGGGCGATAATGAAGCGGAAACTGAAGATGAAGATGGAGCAGTCACCAGCGAAATTGGTCGGATGAAGAATTGGTGGAATCAGCTAGCCAAGACCATGCTGAAGAAGGTGTGCGCCGACTGATGAGTGGCATCAACAGAAAAGTGCGAGAATAATGATGAATGATTTGTTTCAGTTATTTTCATGATATAAAATGTTTATACCTTTGTTCATCTTTCTTGAATTGCTGCCAAACTGACCCTGTAACAAGAATAGGCTGTTGGCCATTGTCATAGCAACCATATAAAGTACGAAGTCTTATTCGCTAACTGGTCTGCTTTTCAACTGGAATATAGCTTTTGATTATGAGTAAAATTTGAGTTAATTTTGAGCAACTCTGAGTAACTCGAGTTGCTCAACAAGCGATGCACGATAACACAGCAACCTTGTTGTATTTATTCCCCAACTGTCAAAGAAAGACGTTCAACGGTGATAAATATTCCTAAATTCTGCAACTTCCCATGGTCGAAAAGTGAATCCTGATGAATGTGGGCATGTGAGAAAATGGTGGTGTACACTGGATAATCCTTCATAGATAGATCCCATGACATTCCTACTGCCAATCCTCTGTAAGCCGTTTTCATCCAAATCTAGTGCAGGTTGTTATCGGTCGACGTTGATCATAGCATTTTCAAATTCAAAGTATGATACATTTGGTTAAATTGACCACAGTTTCAATATTCGAAAGGCATCAAAGTTACGACCACTACTTTGAAATAGTATTCTCCAACTTTTGTCTGAATGCCCAAGAATTAGTGCAGAACTTGTAGGCAGTAACCTCATAGTTCTGCACTAATACTTGGTCATTCAGAGAAGTATAGAAAAATAATCCATTTGGTTGGTGGTTGTCATGATTTTCAGAAAAATTAACTACAAGTATTCCTAATTGCCACTAGGTTCGACCCGAGATTAATAGAAAGCAATACATTGTCATCGTATAGCCAAATATAAAATTTTAAGTTTCCATAAAACCAAATCTAGCTCCCATCCATCTTGAATTCTCAACTTATTCATTCCTATTTGAAATAATGAAATTTGCCATTGTAGATGTGCAGAACCTCTGATTTGCCAAGCACATGAAGGCCTCATAAATTACGTCTAGCTGGGTGATACGGATACATTTTGGATGTTAGCCCGAACAGGAGAAAATAACTAATGAATACCTAATTCTGATCTGATACCAAAATTTGGTATTGACCAGCATGACATAAGAGGTAAAATACCAAAGAATTTTACCAAAAAATTACATGCAAAATACTTTGTAAATAACAAAAATTGATATTTGAATACCAAAATAATACCTGTGTGGTATTGTTTTGATATTCCATTATCATAATTTGGTATTGGAATGGTATTGTGGGAACATTTTTTTGGTATTATTTTTTGGTATTTTACCTCTTATGTCAGGCTCATCCATACCAATTTAAGGTATCAAGATATTCGATCCTGCTCGGGAGGCCATCTTCGAATATGGCATTTTTTACCTTATTTCCATTCAAAGCACAATTCTTAGATTTCATGCTGTGAATGGATTCAAGTGATTAAATAAGGATTTGTATCAAGAATATAATAAAATAATTCAAATTCACCTCCTCCTATGACACATAATGTTTATTCACACTGCGGTTTGTATTTGTTGATGAATATACATAAGGCCAGACTACTTTGATCATTCTTGAGTAATTATGAGTTACTCAAATTTACTCGGAGGAAAAATATTAACTTTGAGTACAGCTGGCTTGCCCCTAGAGTCTGACAGCTCGCTCCCATGCAAAGTGCCACCGAGGGGCCCTAAGGTGGTAATTTTTGCAAATGTAATCGTACTTATTTAAAATAATTCCAGTGTTCCAAAATTGAATTTTGGATTTGGGTTCTATTTTTAATGCAGATAACGAATATGCAGTTACCACAATACCCTTAAAGAACCCAATTGGTGAGGAGCATTCGAAAGGAATAATAAGAGTTAATATAAATGAGTTTAAATTTATTTTCATTTCACACTGAAATCAAGGCTTGGATGCGTTTTTAGCGAAAGCGTTAAGCCTTTCTAATCTGGCTAGTTTGAATGCTGTAAACATAACAATAACAAACTTTACACTGTTTCAATTCAATGCGCGTGATTTTTTTTAAAAGTCGATCAAACAATCCATTGAAGTTCTCCTCAGTGTTTTTTGACGTTTGCTAAGGCAGCCCAGTTAGCACAGGAATGCGCTTGTAGCCAAGCTAGCGAATAAGTACTGCATTATATTTTTTCAGCATTTGGACAACTATAACCAAAGTTAGAGGGATATAAGGCTCTGAACCATTTCAGTGCCAACATTTCAAAGGGGCGTAATTGCATTTGTAAACAATGGCTTTAGCCATAGATTTCTCGCAAATAAAAGCTCACTCATGAAAAATAATAATACCAACAGGTAGAGGAATGTTTCCTCTACCAGCTAGCATTGTAATTTTGGAGAGGTAAGATATTATTCGTGAGAAATTGACGGCTAAAGTCATTGTTTACAAAAGCAATTACGCCCCTTTGAAATGTTGACACTGATTTGGTGGCTGCCAACGGGAGAAGCTCCAGAGAATCTTATGCAGATTATTAATTTCATCACGAAATCTGTTTCAGATGAAGCCGTTCCGAGAAAAGTCTTCGCCCGTCCAGGCGTTTGCGGCGAACAGGGGTCTGTTTGCCGCCATTTTGTGACGTCAATAATGTCTTTTTTTATGTCGAAAAATTTTTATTTGTAAACTTTAATGTTCAATAAACAAGAATCCCAAAGAGTTAGGCGCATTACTATTCATTTTCCTTGAAAAAAATTAATTGAAAAACAGGCCGAAAAAAGGCAAAAGATTGGGAATACCCCCTTAAAGAAACCTAAGTTGAGGAAAGACTTACATTTTAAGTTGGAACGTATTAACTGTAAGCTAGAGAAAATGACGAATACTAAAAAGAAACAATGGTTTGGTTGGTTCGAGAGACTACCCGGATTTAGGCTGTACCAGCCATAAAAAATGATAATGGTTCACCGGAACCTCAAAACATAATGAATCTAGCAGTTCTCATATGTTTTTCAGTATTATATCGCAATCAAATAGGAATATACCACTTCTCAAACCCCTAATCATAAAGTCAACTTATTAATGAGGCATCAAGTGAACCATATCCATTGAAATGACACGTTGCTTCCATTATGTGCAAATTAAGGGTTCACTTTTCGGATCAGATGATTTCCATGCACGTGACCCTCTTCTGCTTACGCGAAAAATGGTGAGATAGGGAGAGCGAGGGAAAACAGAAAATTTCCCTGTCACGATGGAAAAGATTTTTCGCATAAATTTGGTTCGTGCTCTTCTCGTTTCGGATTCCAGATTTTAGATTAAGTTGTGATTGTTATTCATGCTTACCGGCAAAACGTCCTCAGAAGCGAAACTCAAACAATTGGCGTCTAAATTGTGTACCAATTTGTTGCACAAAAGAGCGAGCGGATGTCAACATAATATCAATTAGGTACTTCAAAGTGGAAAGTGTTTTGTGGGTGATTTTCGGGCTAATGTTTATCATTATACCTACCCTTGTCGTGCCCGCTGTCGAGCTCGGTGGGAGTGTAATTGAGCTATTCATGCTTCCGGGGCTTTCCATGATTGCTGAAACAGTCAGTCTCAAGAGTAGGGAAGAAGTTTGTTTGCAGAGTTTTTGTATCCATAATCATTACAGATTTATTATTATTTGTCGTAACAAACACCGAGCTATTTACAATTTACCATCCTATACACATAAATTACACCAAAATACATGATGAGTTCCTCTAATTTGCGGTGTGTCGAAAATCAGTCATAATATTTTCATTGAAGCGATCGGAGGACGGGAGAGGATAAAATTATAGGGGACAACCATGCGCGTAGGAGACATTGCGGAAAATTGCCGCTGCGGCGGCCGACGTGAGAAAATTGCACGGATTTTGTGTGAACGACGACAACGAGGTGGGGCAACATTGAATGGAATTAGCCGACGGTTCCTGATTGTTGATCAGTTCCTTCTCCATGGTGGCTTGGTGCCGTAATTGTTCTAGCCGGAGTTGATTTTGGCGCTTCCATTTGGTTCTGCGAATGGAATTTGATGATTAGATTACATGATCCATTAGTCCATAGATTGGAATGCACACACCTTCTGTTCTGATACCACGTTTTCACTTGAGTTTCTGACAAATTCAAAGCGTCTGCCACATCGCTCCGGTCTGCTACTGATAGATATTTTTGACATCTGTAAGTTAGTAAATCGTGAACATTTGGTTATTACACCGTGATATGCATCTCGTACCTCCGCGAAATATTAATTAAGATTTGTTTATTTAGTTCATAACACAACAAATAACGATAACTCATCCACTTTCCGTTAGATAATATATGCTATTGAAGCTATTCTTTTATTACTTCAATAAATGTAAATGTTAATAGCCGAAACAAACAATAATTCTAGATAGAGCTGGAATTAGGGCGTAACAGCTTTTGTAAACAATGGCTTTTCTCGATGATTTCTCGAAAGACATAACTCTCCCTGGCAAATCAACATTACCATCGAATAGGGGAAGACTTCTCCTACCCGATGGATATGATGATTTGTGTAGGCGTGCCTTGAGTTGCTAGAAATCAACGAGAGAAGTCATTGTTTACAAAAGCTGTTACGCCCTAATTCCTGCTCTATCTAGAATTTTCACTTTTGTCATCCCCAATCCCTTAAAAATTTCTGGAAATCATGAAGGGAGAAGTCATGTAATTTGTGTTTTTCTATGCTGCAAAAAAATGTAACACGTTTGATCGCTTGCTCATAATCTGTATGATGTTTTATTGCTATATACATAATTTTTGATTTTGATTTTTTTTATTTTGCGAGACAGAAGGGGGTTTTATGAAGGCCAAATCTCAAGTCTCAAGGCCATATTCCAGAACGTGAGTGGATCATGATGATTACGTCAAACTATAATGTCTAAATTAAATGAACCACACGCCCCACACAACTCCTAAAACGGCTTCGATATTGGGGCTGACTAAAAGTAAATTGGTACGCACAGAAAGACCTGTAGTTCGTGATTCAATAAGTTTAAAAAAAATCCATTAATGGTTGCTTTACAGTCTTCTCTTCTCCTCTTCTCATTCGCATTTCAAGCTTATTGCTTAGTGCATATTAGCTTATTGCGTGCTCTCAACTTAGTGTTTTACTAACTGCACTTCCACAGTTATTAATTGAGAGCTTTCGATGCCAATACGAATGCATGAATTTGAATATTGTGTGGCAAGCACAATGATACTCTATCGATGCCCAGGGAAGTCTAGAAAATAACCATACCGAATAGATGCCCTCGACCGGGAATCGAACCCGCCGCCTCCGGCTTGGTATTACCGTGCCTTTACTGACTAGGATATAAGGTCCCAGCTTTACAGTACTTTTTTTTTTTAAACTTCAAAGTTACAGCATTAGATGGTTACATATCTCCAGTTCGCACGAAATCTCGAACCATCCTCTTGATGGATCAGCACCCGCACAGTGGAAACGGACACGGAATCAGCGCATTTCTTCCATTTGGCCCGCATTTGCTGGATGAAATTCCGGGAAATTCGCAAGATTTATTAGCTACCACTTTTCAAGCTCTGAAATTATCAGACGGTACCTCTATTTATGCTTTTAGATTAGCTTTGAAAGTCCATCCTACTTGGAAAATTATGCCATAGAACGGTTTATAAAATCGCAGATTTTTTGCTGATAGGGGTGAGACGATTCGCTGCCAGACTGTTGAGCAGTTCAGTCGATTTGAATTCTCTCTAGTTTCGTTCGTTCGTTCGCAAGTCGAATTAGCTCCGCGTTCGCTGACCCAGCCATGGGTAAGAAATCGCGCGGTAACGCGAGTGCCGGTTTACCGGGAAAACAGACTCTCCCAGGAGACGGCGCGACCACCGAGCCAGCCCAGAAGAAGCAGAAGAAAACCCCATTGCCCATCCCGACAGGCGTTGCGGACCCGCAGCCGGGGCCTCCCGGAACTAAACGACCCAGACCTGAAGACAGCAGCGCCACCGTATCAGCAGCAAAAAAGCTGCTGAGCAACAATCCGTTCTCCGCCCTGCAGAACGGAGCGCAGCCGCAGTCGGACCCTGAGACGGTGCCGAAAAAAGTTAAGTTGCCACCCTTCTATGTGAAGGGCTTCCCTCCCGGGCTATGGGAGCAGCTGGATTTCTACATTAAGCAGGGCCTTCGCTGCACCATTCAACGGTGCACGGAAGGCTACAAACTGATGGTCCCGGCCGAAAAACACTTCAACGCAGTTCAGGCCCTCTTGGACAGAATGAAGCTGGAGTACTTCTCCCACGACATCGAGGCCACCAAGCCGCTGAAAGTGGTGCTGCGCGGGCTCCACGACATGGACACCACCACCTTAATGGACGAGATTAAGGCGAACGGCCTCAAGCCGGTCGAAGTCCACAAGATGACCCGCAGCAAGGCCATCAAGTATCGTGACCAGCTCTACCTGGTCCATCTGGAGAAGAACTCCACAACCGTGAAGGATCTCCAGACGACACGCACACTGTTCCACATCGTAGTGAAGTGGGAGCGGTATAAACCCACCCACCGTGGCGTCACTCAGTGCTCGAACTGCCTATTGTTCGGGCACGGCACCAGGAATTGCCGCATGGCCAGCCGCTGCATCAAATGCGGCAAAAACCACAAGATCGACAACTGCGACAGCATCGAGGAAGCCACTCCCACATGCGCCAACTGCGGTGAAGCCCACAAGGTCACGAGGGGCGGCTCGTTCAGAACCTGGACGACCGTTCCAGACCATTCTGGAAGGTTGCCAAGGTGCTGAAGTCTCACCCCAAGCCCATTCCACCACTTAGAGTCAATGACGAACGGCTTATCACCAACGAAGAGAAGGCCAATGCAATTGGGGAGCACATTGCCCAGTCGCATTTGCTTGGCTCTACAATCCCAAGTCCACTCGAGAACCAGGTTGTGCAGTGCGTCCAGACGTTAGATGCCTCCCCTTGTGCCGTCCCTCCAGAAGAACGGATTACAGAGGAACAAATTTGCTCAGCGCTGAAATATAGTAAAAACATGAAGGCTCCCGGGTTTGACGGAATATTCAACCTAGAGTTGAAAAATCTCAGCGCGAGGGTGCACTCGCTGCTGGCTGCCATCCTCAACAGATGCTTGGAGCTGCACTACTTTCCAAGCATCTGGAAGGTGGCAAAAATCATCCCGATCCGCAAACCTGGGAAAGACCCTTCACTAGCGTCAAGCTACAGACCGATTAGCCTGCTCTCAGCGCTGAGCAAGCTGTTCGAAAAATTGATCCTCAGCCGACTAAACAAGTTTGTGGAGGAACATGACATTCTTCTTCCGGAACAGTTCGGGTTCATTCCTCGTCGAACGTTCGACAGAGCAAGTTTGCTTACGCTACTCTCCCGCCGCCGCAAAAGTGTTTTTCGGAAAAAAGTGGATTTTTTTTCTCTCCCCGATCGGAGTTTTTTTTACACCTTCAGGTGTGCAGTGTCACAGGCGGACATAAACGTTCCCCGGAGGAAGCAACCATCTCAGCCGAGTCTGAAGATTGGATTGTCCAACGGTAAAACTATCAACCACCACCTAGACATCGCATCATACGGCATCAAAACGTCATCACCCGTATACACCGTACAACGAAGCAGCAGAACTGCAGATACGGTCTATACAGACCGGACGGTGCCCTTTGTGCTAAGCCACGTGCTGCAACAATAGAGCGATCATCTCTGCTTCATCGCACAGTGGAGTTTGTAAACGCGCCATCCCGGCATATAGAGATAAGTTAATTTTTTTCTCAGCCTAATTCTTTTTTTTTTTTTTTTGTAAATATTTTTTTTTTTTTTGGTTTTTGATTTGCTAATATTAAGTAATCCCCCTGCAGCGTTGAATTTCCTTTCTTACAAATTATTATTTTTATTATTATTCATTATCTTATTTAGTTTTTTTTTGCACATATTTTATTTTATTTTTATTTTTTTAACACTGAGCAATTCACTCACAGTGTTGACTTCCTTTTCTTGTTGTTTCCTTTCCAATTTCAATCCATATATTTGAAATTTGTGGAAAATATAAACATTTAATAACTAAGATTGCAACCAATTCCGTTGCGGTGGTATCTTAAGTCACCGCAATGGATGATACAAATAAAGGCGGGGGTCTGTCGCTTGACATCTCTGATGATGAGTCAATAAAGTCTCCCTCATTTGAAAAGCTTGATAGCTCTGAGGAAATGGATACCCTCGAAGAGCACCTTGATCAAACCAGCAGCAAGAACACTGGAGCCTATCCAAAAGTGAAATCTCTACCACAGCCCCCTTCTCCTCCATCGCCGCCTTGTCCACCATCGCCGCCTTGTCCTTATGTGCCCTCTACTCCACTCCTTCCCCCGAAAATATCAGCGACCCCCCGCCACAAGGCTTACCCTGATGACTCGAAAGGTCCGTGGGTTGTTTTCTTCCGGCCCAAACAAAAACCTTTGAATATTTCTCGGATTTCGAAGGATCTGACAAAACATTTTTCGGCCGTAACCGATATCTTTAAGGTGACGCCAAACAAACTGCGCGTTACCGTTGATAACCTGAAACAGGCAAACCGAATTGTTGCCTGTGAGCTTTTTTCGATCGAATATCGAGTCTACGTCCCCAGTTGTGACGTAGAAATTGAAGGAGTGGTCACCGATTCGAGTCTGACTTGTGAGGATTTCCTGCAAGTCGAATCTTTCGGCATTTTCAAAAACCGTGCCCTTCCGAAAGTCAAGATACTGGACTGCATTCAACTGCAGTCAGTGTCGCACATAGGCACAAACAAAAAGTATACCCTCTCAGATTCGTTTCGTGTGACCTTTTCAGGATCGGCATTACCTGACTACGTCACAATTGGGAAGGTTCGACTACCTGTACGCTTGTTTGTACCGAGGGTAATGAATTGCTTGAAATGCAAACAACTAGGTCACACCGCGGACTTTTGTTCCAACAAACCGCGGTGCGATCAATGTGGGGAGGAGCATACGGAGGGTCCTTGTCATGCTACACCAATATGCGTTTACTGTAAGGATGCTCCGCATGCTCTGAGTGATTGCCCGAAGTACAAACAGCAGGGAGAAAAACTAAAGCGGTCCTTGCAAGCTCGCTCTAAGCGCTCGTTAGCAGAAATTTTGAAAACGACCGCTTCATCTTCCCAAACCACCCCAAAAAGCAACAACACATTCC